CACATAATTTGGCCGATCTGCACCCAGTCTCCTATTATCAGTCCTAATTCAAGCCCCAACAGGAATGCAGTGTAAGATTTGGTGTGTGGCCTGTAACCTCCACAGTGCCCCCTACAATATAAAATCAGCCCCAAGTCACGCTTTGACTGACAATCATGAAATTTGGTACACATATGTAACATATGAAGACCTACAAAAAAGTCTCAAACGCCACAGGAAGTCAGCCATTTTGGATCAATGCTGACATTTTGTCTCTTTTTTTTTTTTTTACACACATTTGAGTAAACTCCTCCTGAAGTTTCTAACTGAATATTCTTAAGGTAATGGAGAATATCAAAAGGTTTTTTTTGTTGAAACTAAGGATGTGGGCGTGGCCAAGCCTCAAATACAGACCAGTCACCATGAAACATCAAGATGGAATAACTTCTTCATACAAGGTCACAACTGTGTGATACATTCTGTGTGTTATAACAGACCAGCACTCACCACACTCACATAGTCATTTGATGAAATGGCCTTAACCCCTTTAAAACAGGAAGTCACTTATTTTGCTGGATGTCTTCCTTATACACTGTGACTCATACAGATTTCAACCTGTGTCTAGTGACACAGAACTAGTTGATGTTGCTTGCTTCTCTCAACACCGACTGTTGGCTGGATTGTGTGGGCGTGACAGAGTGGCGAATGCTGATGCATTGCCGTTTGCACACAACTGGCTCTAAATCACAGAAGAGGCCTGTAGGATTACGTTGGAATTTGACTCAACTGCACCCCCTAGAATAGATAAACACACGAAATTTGGTGCAGATTGGATGATGTAGCAGAGAGCTATCTCCTTAGTACATCATCCAATCTGCACCAAATTCTGTGTGTGAGTCATCAGGGAGCACTGCTCATGAAACCAGGACATTAAGGGGCACAAGTGATTTTAAAGATTGCAAAGTCRGCCATTTTGGATTTTAGGCGCACTGCTTCACTAAGTGGGGGCGTGATGTTAGAAACAAGAAAGTTGGCCGTTTTGGAAACGCAAAATTTGGGTAATACCAGCGCTCCCGCTGTCACCACATGGCTGGAGCAGTGTGGACCTGCGATGGCCGCAATGCTGCTTTCAGCTTTAATTTGGGCTTGTTTTGCATTAGCCTGGACCTGAACACCTTTCAGTTGCTGAGTCAGATGTAAAATCATTTAAAAGTTGTCCTAGAGTCAATGCTACGGTGTTTTAGTATTCAAATAATAAATTTGAGTAATCTGAAGTTGGAACGTAGATCTACACAACAAAATCCACAACTTTAAGTACTGACCTTTCATTTAAAGGAGTTAATATAACTTACCATGTAAGATCACTACAATCAATACAAGATAAATCTATTTGTATTTACTTTTGCACAAACTTTAATAGATAAACTGCATTTTAATAATTACCATTTTTTAATCTACCAAATCTGACTGTCCTGCATTATAAAATAGGAATGAGTTGATTAAGTTTCAATCTTTTTGGACAGATAAATTACATGTAATTTGTTCACATTTAGACTAACTGCTTTTTGTTGCCCATCACCATTAAAAGTTTGGAATAATAAAATTGCCTCTGTGTTAGCAAAATACCTCATAGGGAATTCCTTTAATCCCAATTTGACTTTATCCATTGAATTTGAAATGAATATGTCCAGGCTTGTCTGTGTTGGGAATAATTAGAACTGATGAGAAATGTCTGTCCACTACCAGAGTGGGTCTGCTTTGCTTTGCTGCCAAAAGTCTGAGCTGACCAYAATCCTCCATCCTGTTTCGTCTTTTTATGTGCCAGCCTCACAAACCGCTGCACCACCAGATCAGTGAAGACGATGAATGCTTAATGACTGATCACGTTTGAAACAGCTGAAACAACTGGAGGTGACTCACAGTTCAGAAATGTGGCTCCAAACTCTAGAAACATTTTTTTTCCTTTATCTCTGCATGACAAACTGTTCGAGTCAAAAGTCTAGAGGAACCGATCAACTAATAGAGGAAGATAATTCAGGTGGGTCATTGTAAAAAATCAACCTCAGTCTGGTTTGCTTCAAATGAAAGAGCTGAAGAAATGTCGTGTGGTAGTGTGGCTGCGGGGGGCCAAGCGGGGCCGGTTATTTYGGACCTCCAGCGTACTGGTTTATTTGTTCAGATTCTGAAATGGGCTGAAAGGATCCACTGAAACAAACAGGGCTATTATTCACTCAACACAGTTACAACACGCGCGCTGTTTCCTAACGCTGGAGTTCTAATATCTAATACCCCTCCCCTGAAAAATGTACAGGCAGGACTCGTCCAGCTCCTTCAGCAACTGAAGGGAAATCCCTTGAAACCTCAGGCGATACACTTTGACTTTTAACGCTTGTTAATAAAGATTTATGATTGCGAAGCAGCTTTATAGTCAAACTGAGCACCAGTGACAATCAGTAACAGATGGGCTTTGAGCACAGCCTGACAGCGCTGAGGGGGACTTTTAAGTGAGCAACTTGTAAAAAAAAAAAAAAAAAGTCACATGGCTGTGAAAACAATAAAACGCTTCATGTTAAAACATCCTCTTATAAAGTTTTTTATGATAAACTGACTTTTTTTTTTTTCCATCCACAGTCACAAATAGTTCTTAAATGATCCGGGATCAAACTGATTTCGCTGTAGATAAGAATTTATCTTCAGAGAAAAACAAGTCTGTGAAGAATTATGAATTTTAGAACAAACTACASGAATCACTTTCTGCGAAAATGCAGTGTGAATAATTAGAGGTGAATCAGCTGAAATTTGTTGAAAATGCTGAAAATAGCTGTTAAAGCAAAAAAAGGGAGCAGATTACAAGACAGAAAAATAGCACAAAGCTAGCTAATAGTACCAAAGGTTAGCTAAAAGTGTAAAAAACACAGAGGTTTATAGTAACTAAGTATATTTACTTCATTACATTACTTAAGTAGTAATTTTTTTAATAGCTACTTTTATTTTGTTACATTTTAAAGCTAAAAATTAAACTTTTACTTGTTTAAGATTTTACACCTAGTTACTCATTACAAAATTAAATATGTTGGAACTCTTCATGAAAGATGTTTCTGCCCTCTAAAGTGTTTAATTTACTCAAAATCATATCAACTGGCCCCACTAAGCCTAGATGAGTAAACTGAGCAAAGAATATACATAAATCGCTCAATTTACTCAGCCTGGCTGAGTGGAGCCAGTTTGGTTCTGTAAATTCATCAGTTTATTTCTTAGAGTGTGYGTGTAAAAGTACTTTTACTTTCCCAATATTTGTGAACAGTTTTATGACTTTTACTTCAGTAGTTTTCTCATTAGTGAAATTAACTTTTTAGCAAAATCCTTTCCTATTTTTTCCAGTACCTTATAGACCTCTGAAAAAAAGCTAACTTAAACAAAATGAGCAGAATGCTAGCTAAAATCATCAAAATGCAAGCAAAAGAACAGCCAACAGTAGCTGAAGCTATAAACTAAACATAGCAGAACAGTAACTAAAAGCTAGAAAATATAAAATAATAATAGTAGAGTCAATATTACAATCCGGATTTAAATGAAAATGGTTTTGAAGGAATTAAAGAAACCTTTTGATTATGGGGAAAATATAGGTAAATAAAGTTAAATATTCTTGATAAAAAAATTTAAAATTACAAAAAGAAAATTCCGAGCAGCCGTCTGACATGAGTGAAATGTTCTAATGTATAAATGGCTATAAAATAAAAGAAGTGTGAAGGCTGAATCTGCATTCACACAAACACGACACACTCTGATATATTGACCAGAATCATTTCTGAACTCTTTCCTGATCTAAAGTGATCTCCATTAACTAGTGTTGTTAAAACTCCACATGAACAGTCAGTCTGCTRCAGAAACACGACTAAACCCACATCATAAAATGACCAGTTTCTCTCTTATCCCTCAGAGCAACATAAACGCTGCAGTGGCACCGATGGACCCTCCCGAACACATTTTTACCCGAGTCTGCAAATAATACAAAAACAACAACAGTATCATCATGTCTGCCTATCATCACCCAGTCCCAGTCAGATCTGCCTTTAAGATCAACAATGGCAACCACGCCGAGGAGTGGGGAACATCAAACGCAACTTCGGCTCTTTGATAATGACGGATCTTGATGTTGCAGTCTCTCTTTTATACAGAAAAAAACCACAGAGCTACTTAAAATTCAGCTGCAACGCTCGAGCAAAGGGCGGCGAAATCACACTATGATTTCAGATCCATCAGAGGCAAAGTGTCTGTGAACATTATTGATTCAGAATCATCAGATTACCTTGATCTGCTCAGTAACAGTTGCCTGAAATCCAATTGTAAGTTGCGTTCTGAATTAAACAGGGAGAAGTGGGGCTGAGCAGCAAGCAAGCAGGAGCTTGTGTCTCCCAAGTCTTTAAGAATGAACCCGTTGAACCCCCTGAGGTGTGTGGAAATAAATGTGAGGATATGCTCTCACGTCAACGCTGCCATCTAGTGGTCGAAAGCTGCCATCGCCTCAGACGGTGTCGTCAAACAGCACAAAGAGGAAAAATGTTTTTTTTTTTTTGTTTTATCTGATTACATGGTTAATGTGGATACTGAATAAAAGGTCAACTTTCACCCCGACTAAAGCAGCAGCTTGTAGAAACCAAAACATGCAAACTGCTGAAGAACAATTTGATTTATTTTGGTTGAGAAAACGAAAATGATGGAAAAGGCAGGTAACGATGTTGGTCCAAACCAAATCAAAATTCCTTTGTGAACCGAACTGTCTGATGTGTTAAATTAAACTGGAACTTCATATACTTACACATGCAGTTTATGTAAAATGGAAACGTTTCTTCTCAAACGAGCCACTTTTAAACCACACAAACCTGTTAAAGCATTAAAACTATAAAACATGAAAAACAAGAAAGTACGGTACACAACTAAATCTGTTAAGACAAAAAAAAAAGTGCATACAGTCTCATTTTCAGCGCATTAAAAAGTAAGATAAAATCAAAATTATAACCTATAATAAAAAAACAGCTAATAGCATCAGCCTAGTTGATTCTGATGTTTTTCACAGACCAAGATGAAGTATTTTACATTTGATTTCTGGAACTAAAAACTTTTACTAAAAAAAAAAAAAATAACGGTGTAAAGTTTTTACTTCCTGTACAGTTACGATCCATTAAACGAGTCAAGAGGTGCAGCACTACCCAAAAGCTCTAATTTGGGAATAGTGATCATCACGTCTGGCTTACTCTTCAGCATCTGTAAACTGGTCGGGCTCAGCGGGAGCTTTGTAGGCCCTCCAGTGAATGGGATGCATGTGATGTACAGCCGGGCTGTAATTAGCCGTCGCCGGCAGGTCATCGTTAGGCTGGAGGCTCAGGTCCCGCAGCGCGAACTGGATCACATCCTCAGGACCTGAAGGACACAGAGTAAACAACACACATGTAATATAAAACAATATTTTAACACATTCTGTTATTAAAACTCCACATTTATACACAGAAACTTTCAGCCCTTTTTTCATCATCCAAGGAAAAACATTTGCTTCGTTAGCAAAGCGTCTCATGAACGCATCTTTTATTGAAAGATTCAGACTGTAACAGCTATGTTGTCACTGCTGGGATTATTTAGGGCAGAGGTTCTCAAACTGGGGTCCCAGGAACCCCCAGGGGTCCGCGAGCCATAACCTGGGGGTCCTCAAATAATTGCAAGAAATTATTTGTTTTTTTATTTAAAAACATGCATATGGGGAACAATGGACTAGTAGAATAAACATACTAAACCAAACATAATATTCTCATGGCATTTATGGGTTGAAACGAAAGTGATAAAAATAACCAAAACATAAATAAATAAATAAATAAATAAATAAATAAATAAGTGTGTTTATGAAGGGATCCCTGGAAATTTTTTTCACCCTTGTAAGGGGTCCCTAGATCCAAAAGGTTTGAGAACCCCTGATTTAGGGTTTTAACATTTTAGGAAAAGATTTGTAAAATTGGGTACAAGTTCCATTTCAGTTGATATAATTATTGTTTTTTTTACACCTATAATAAGGACCAGATAAAAAAAGGCTGACTAAGTACACGACCTTTCCTTGCTTAGCTGAGCTGAGAGGTTGAGCAGCTAAAGCCTTTCCTCTGCCTACATCCCCCAGAATTCTCTGCAGTTCTGAATCAGTTCAGACATATTTTCTATTGATATCGATCATGTTAATCACAATATATATATATATATATATATATATATATATCATTATTTTTGATCGTCCAGGTCTAAGTAAAATACACTGCTTATCTGAGAAATTTATTCTGAGAATTTGAAGTTTTAGTTTTTTACAAACTTTTCCACACTATTTAGTTTCTTATCCAAACATAGAACTTTCCCTTTTYCCCCTCACTATAAGCAGAATATTGATAGCAGCCAAACTGTGGCTCATTTTACGCAGATTCCCCTGGTACAGCTGGGACCCATCAGGGTCTCGGACACCACAGAAACCTCTGAATGGGTCCTTTAAAGTCAGGCGTCAAAATGTGAGGCCTGTCAGGACTGGCCAGCACCATCGCAGTTATTTAGCAGAACACTACAACAGAGTTTCATCAGACATCTGGAAAACAGAAACCAAGACAAGAACTTGAATATTTTTCCCGTAATTGAAGCCATCGGGAAGTACCGTAAGCCGAGACGCCAAAACACATCTTTTCCCAGTTTCCTAGCGTGACCTCTTGGATCTCTGCCTCCCAGTCTTCCTGCTCTTGTTCTGGTGGTGCAGAACATCCTGATGACGAGACTTCATCCTCTCTGGAAGGAAATAAATAAAAAAAAGAAGACTCTGGTTACTGTATGCTAGTTTTCAGCCAGCGAACGAAGGAAGCTGATGCTGAGTTAGCAACATGCTAATGCTAACGAGCAGGTGTTGACTCACCTCTTCTTCTTGTTTCTGAATTTCATCTTTCGTCTTTGATTCTTCTTTGGTTTTGATGAACTGGGGTCTGGAACCACTTGTTCAGATTTACAGTCCGGACTCCCAGCACCCGGTCTGGCTGCACCACCACCCAGAACCGGCGCTGTTCCTGTCATCCCAGCTCCGGAGCCATTAGAGACGGGTGAAATCTGGCTCTCCCTTGTCCAGATCTTGATCAGCGGAGCTGCTTTGGGTCTCCTGGCCTTTAGTCTGTGATCAACATGAACGTTAACTATTCCCGGTAGCTTGGGAAGGTCCAGTGAGCCAACTGGTGAGCTCTCACTGGTTCGACTGGCAGCGGAGCAGCCATGTTGAAAGAATGCTCCGTTCACCCAGCTTCTCCCRGGGATGTGCTCGTTCTTCACGTGGCTGACTTTCCAGGTGTTGTAATGCGGTCCGTTCGGTCCGTCCTCGAAGCTGAGCCCAGTCTGAGGCATCACGCTGCCTGCAATACACACAAAGGGTTTAAGTACATAAAACATGCAAAATGCCTTTTGAAATACTCCTTTAATCAAAAAATGTAAAAAAAAATATAAAGGCTTTCTTTAAGAAATGCACATCACCGACAGATTATTGGTGTTTTATTAATAACTTTCTGGTGGTTTACATAATATTTTGCTAACAGACACATCTTCTGCCACATCCAAACTAGTTAAATTTTTTTGTCGTGCATGTCTTCTTAAATGGGTGTTCTTAAATGTCATTTCATTTTGCAAATGATGACAATAAAGGCTTTCATCATCATCAAATATTTGTAAAATTGATCGAACCACAGCTATTATTGTTTGCTAAGATCAACAGGCTGCAGCGACCAGCTTGGGTTAACTCCTACAGCTAATCAACTGCAGATTTACATCAATTTATTTCCTGAAGTTGGATTAAAATTCATCCTGTAGTTCATGGAATTTTGTCCACAAATAAGCAAGTTTATTTTTACATGTTCGCACTTTGATGGTAATTTGGTCATCAGCCACAGCAGATTAATTAATTAGCAAACAAAACAATGTTAACTATTAAACATTTCCATCCAAGGAGGGGACGGTAAGATAACTTCAGCTAATTTCGCCACACACACCTGTCTCCGGCTYCTGTTAGCATATTAGCTTCCTGATTGACCAGCAGATGCAGTTCACGCTTTTTATCACATCAAGACACCAATAAAGAAAATCTAAGACATCGAAAGCCTAAAAATGATCTAAAATGAAATTACATTCAATTTGTTAAGCGTAGCCGTGAGTTTAACTAACTTCTTACCTGTCCTGAAGCCACAAGCACACCCGGCCCCCTCCCGCAGCACAGCCTCAGTGACTGGGAAGAGAAAGCAGAGCTGGCGGCGGCCGCCGGGGGGCGCCAAAGCCCGGACAACTGTGTTTGTTTCTTCCCCTTCTGATGCCTTTACAGTGTAAAGTACCACAAAGTGATACTTGAGTAAAAGTACAAGTATCTAACCAGAAAATTACTTTGGTACAAGTTAAAGTCTCCTTTAGGAATATTACTTGAGTAAAAGTCTTAAAGTATCTGATATTTTTTGTACTTAAGTATTAAAAGGATTGATTTAAAATGAGCAGTTAGATTTTCTGTAATGACCTTTATTAGGAGGTGACCTCCCCAAAACAATGCAGAAATGACTATATTGTAATAAAATAGTTAATTAATGTTAAATTTATGATGCACTAGTCTAGCTGTTTCAGTTTATCAAGGCAGCCCAAATATTTTCCCCAAAATAAAAATCTGAGGGCCGCGACCAAATGCAATAATATAATTCATGAAATACAAAAACTTCTTAAGTACAGTCCTTTTATTTTAATGATTGTGTCCTGCTGGCGTGTGACAGGATTTGTTCATGTACAAACTAATACAGTATCAGAGTTTTATTTATTTATACTTCTCATTCAATCACAATAAAATTCACTATTTAGGAGGCACAGTTTATATGGATGGTATTTAATTTTTTTACAACAACAAGCTGGAATGAAAGCAAGCAAAAATGAAATAAAAATAACGACTTTCTACTTCTTGCCTCTTTTAAAAATGTRAGAAGTAGAAAGTACAGATAATTGTGTGAAAGTGTAAGAAATAGAAGTAAACAGTAGGCTGAAAAATAATTACTCATGTAAAGTACAGATACCCAAAACTCTACTTAAGTACAGTAAAGAAGTATTTGTACTTAGTTACTTTACAACTCTGTGCCTTTACGTGAAAATGCAATGAAAATATGATCATGTGTAACACATTTAAAACTTTCCCATCAAATGCCAGTTTTTAATGTCAGCTTTAACTTGTCATGCATATAAATTGGAGAAGAGCAATTTCCTTTAATCGTTGTTGTCACTCACCAGTCTTAAATGTTTCAAAGCTCTTTTCAGTTCTCCCTGTGATGCAAAACTACTGTCTGGTTCAGATCTTTTGGAGTTTGTACCTATTTTGGTTCAATTTCAACACATAAATTTAAAAAAAAGTGCAGAATGAACGCACCTAAATGTCAAAACACTGATTTATAATCTGGAAACTGCATAATTGTATGGTTGAAAGCAATATTCAACATTTTTTATTCATTTATTTTTTTGATGCTCTTGTCCAAATATGTTCATTTGTCGGAKGTTAGCAAAATATCTCATGAACCTCTGGAAGAATTATATCAAAACAGTAATTACTGGATGTTTGCCACAGGTTAGCAAATTTTACAGACGTCAAGCTAAAATATGATGTGGTAGCAGCTGAGATTTCAGCATCACTTTAGACCAGGGGTGCCCAAACATTTTCCCTGAGAGGGCCAAAATTAAAATCAATCTGAGGGCCGTGGACCAAACGCAGTAATATAAGAAATGCAAATACTTCTTAAGTAAAGTTGTTTTATTTTTTTTATGATAAAGCTAGCAGCCAGTGTGTTTGCCCACATTTTTTTTTCAGCCCATGGATTTGGAGAAAACTCAACATTCAACAGGCTCATGGGACTTGTCATAATTTAAAATTTGAAAGGTGTGCAAATCTAGATATGGGCTTAAATCTAATCTAAATGTCTTTTGTAGTTACTTGTATTTTATATTTAGACAGGTTTCCTACAATCTTAACATAATTCCAAGTAACCAGGACAACTGCTGGTGGGCCAAATCAAATGGCTTGGTGGGCCAATTTTGGCCCGCGGGCCCCACTTTGGGCACCTCTGCTTTAGACACAATATCAGAGGTTGGAATGAGAAATATCATCATACTAATTGAAATTTCATGAAGGTGCCAAAACATTTTTATTGCCATTGATATTTACAGGACTAATATTTATAAAAGTATAAAAGCAACAAGACAAGTTATTTGTGTACCTTGATGTTCGGTTGGATTTTATTATTATAAATCTTTAATGGCACAAACAGCTGTTGAGAAGCAGATGTTTAAAGCAAAAACAAGACATATCAGGAAATACGTTAATAATGCTCACTGCTTAGGCAGGAAGACAGTTTATAAACATATAAAAAATCAGTTTAAAGCAAAGTGAGAATCAGTGGATTAACTATAAATAAAATTTGAGGCTCAGTGGTCCAGGTTGCGTCTGAAAGGGTCTCTGGCGTAAAACTCTTCCCAAATCATTAGTGCAAGTTTGCTTGCTGCGGCGACACCTGTAGAAGACTAAAAGAACGGCAACAATGATGACTAAAAAATTAAAAAATACAACAAAAATGACCACCGAGTTAAATAAAAGAAGTTATTACACAGTTAAAATAAAACCCAGCAGAAGTACCAGAGAAAGCACGGTGCAATTCAGCAAGACACCAAAACAAGTTACTTTAGTTGATAAAACCATATAAATTTATTCTGTTTTTTAGTACCTATCTTAAAAAGAGTGGTAAGTGGCACATCAATACAAATGATCAATATAAGAACATTTACAGGTTAAGAAAATACATCAGACTCAGAGTGTACCTTCAAAAAACTGTAAATCTAAAAGCATCTACTCTAGAAAAAAACTGTCCTCAAAAGGCACAGACAGAAGAAAATGTGAGCCATGCAAACTAAAACAAAAATATTTACTTCTTTTTGTGCAATGTAGCAAAACTCAAGTTTAGAAGAATTATATATATACAKCAGATTGTAACTGTTTCTCCTCTGAATCGATCTGGTTACAGTACAAAATACTGCACACGTGGCTCACAACGTGTCTGAACTCAACACAGAAATTGAAAGAAAGAAAAAAAATCGTACAAATGCTGTTTTGGCCACACAGGAAGTGACAGATTTAGCTGTACATTCAGGATATTTACAGTATCTGAGTGTTCCAGAGATATTCGTGTTCAACCCATGGGTGACGATAAAGTTTGTGGTTATTTGGAGCAAAACGTGAGTCTCGTGTGCACACAGTTTCTGAGCCGTCCTCAAACATACAGCGTCCACCAGGGTTAGTGATAAAAATTAAATTTGAGGTTAAAAAAATCCRTTCCCTTAATTTAATTAATCTGTGCAAAGATTTACTAACAGACATTCTGTTTGAGAGCAACAGGTTCACCTTTTCATCTAACCTGGTCATCAAATCTGGAAAATGACAAGCATCACTTCCTGTTAGAAATACAATTCAGTCCAGTTTAAATAAAGACAAGACATTCTGAACTAAAAAAAAGCAGCACAAGGACAAAACATCTTCAAAATAATAAACTGGTACATTTCTAATTTAAACTGTTGTAAGGACTTTTAGAGGATTTTTAAATTAATTTATAAAAATGTGATTTAGGTGAAAACGCTGATTTTACAACTCATGACAAAAGTAAGGCCCGTGTGCCAAATGTGGCCTGCTACGTCATTTTATACGGCCTGCGAGAGCTTCAAAGATGTCTTAAAGGGTCAATATTTTGTGTTTCTCAGGTATATAGTTAATAGTAAAGTAACTATTTATGATCACCTTCGGTTGTTATGAAAATGCTGTTGACTTCACATCGCAGCCGTTTCTAAACACCTTGAAATTGGCCTCCGTCTTTTTAAGAACCATCAGGCCCATTTCTGCACATCATCACAACAGCTTCATGCCGTTTACAACCTGTAGTGTTTTAGCCTATTTTGTTGCAATAATAATAAAAAAGCAGCAACAATTGAACCTTACAGTCGGACYGGAAAGTTTTCTGAAGAACCGGAGCTCAGTAGATGATCAGTTTTACCAAGTATTTGTTTGTCAATTGTTGCTACTGATAGCCTGYAGGAGTCCTGCTCTGTTTGGAGAGACAGCACAGGAGGAGCTGCTCCTAAAAGGCGGCTCTAGGCCCAACCAGTTGTTTTTTCTCTCCTGCCTGGCTGCCTCAGGACAGCACAAGAGTTCTCAAACATGAACGAATGACTCAAAGCAAGACTCTGAGTCTGTTTTTGAGAAGGGGATAACATTATAACATGATATAAACCACAAAAAAGTTGATTTTACATGATGTTGCCCCTTTAAATTAGTTATGTGCCATTTTAAAGCCAACAACTAGATCTCCCTTTTTGCTTATTGATAATTTTCCTCACAAAACAGCATCCCACCAGTAGGTGGAGATACACAGGGTTCAAAAGTAGCAGGCAACCAGCAAAACTGGCTGTGTAAAATCTCCATTTCACCGTTTTTTTTCACCTCAGTGTTTATAAGAGAACATATTAAAAACATTCTATGCAGGAAATACCACGTAGAGCTCAGTTATTGTTTTGTTGGCAGTGCTCCGCCATAGCAACGAGACGAGGATGTTTCATGGTTTAGAGTTAAAAACGAAACGTCAAAATTAATTAGAACTAACCCTTGGAGAACAGTCATGATGCTCATGTGGTTCTTGGTGAAAATGAGTTTGACACCTGTGTTCTGCAGGGTGAGTCAAAAGTCACAGGACACCCTGTTATTTCAGAAATAAAAAGGGAAACGACACATCTGAACACCTCAGCAAGTTTCGGGTGAGGCGGGGCTTATCTTTGGAAAACCTTGCCTTATATTGTATATTATATGGTGGATYTAAGATGGCGGCCATGTTCTGGACATAGCCATATAGGCCCTCTCACCAACTACTTTCTGGGATATTCAGATGTGTCATTTTCTCTTTTTTTTCTAATATTAAAGGGTGTCCTGAGACTTTTGACTCATCCTATATTGAGGACACTGGATATGACAACTGCAATTTGCAAAAAAGTCCTTAAATCTTAAATCTCATTTTCCTCTTTCACACTAAAAACAAAGCTAAACACACCTGCTGCACTTAAACACAAATGTTATTGTGAATCCATGTGTACAGTTTATTAAACTGAGGAACCTGATTCCTACCACCTCACATCAGATTTCTGTTCACAACACATGGAGGCTCTGTATGTGAAGCAAAGACAGACAGATTGCTGAGTCATTTTACAATGGCTGCGTCACCCCAACATGAATCCATCTTGTACATTCATATTTAAATGTTTCTGTGCAACATTGTTTGGGTCTATTATTACTAGAAACTGGGAAGCTTTTTAAGATCAGGCTCTGCTTGCATTAGCAGCCACAGAAGTTCCAGTTTAAAGACACTCCATGGTTTCTGCTTCAGCTTCTCCTCTCAATCAACTCATCAATGGGAAAAAAAAACATTCTTTTTGAATTGTGAGACCTCATGTGCATTTTGAAGGTTTCCCGGAAGACATGTTTTCAAGTTTAAAAAATATTTTTCTTCAGCATACTTTTACTGACTTGACAAAAATACTCTCTCAACATACTGGGTCCAACATTAACCAACACTTTCTTTTGCGTTTGCTTTGAAAAATTCTCGTACCCGCTTTCTTTTTCTTCACTTCTGCCTCTTGTCCCAGTCTTTTTAATGAAAACTTGCTTTTCCAAGTTAGTGGTTCCGTGCTCTGACGAGATCCATGAACAGGTCGGGCAAAAAGTCTGCCTTCATGTCCGTCTCGCACCTGCCATCCCATCAGGATCCAGTAACCGTCCAGTGTTCTACATCGAGTGATTGTGCCAATCGTACAAGCACCTTGGGCTCAGATTAGTTTCTGGGTCACATAAATTAAAGACTCATAGCGAGACAAAACAGACGATAACAGTAAATCACAGCAGCAGCAGAAGATAAAAACAGTGCAGACTGAAACAAACCAGTCACATTTGCATAACCATCAATAAGTAAGCGTTCGCTTGCTGAGAAATGTCCCTTTTAGTTTGACGCAAAAAAGCTCTGAATACAAACAGCCGTGAGCAAAACACGTCCATTTATTTAAAAACCGAGCCTGAATGCCCGTTTTCCTCGAGTGCAGAGTCTTAGCTCAGGTCACAGGAAACTGGAACAACCAGGATCACTCCAGTTCAGCCACTGCTAGGTCTTTATCTCCAGAATGGACGGGTTGTGGTCCAGGATGGACAGGATGATTTTATCCATGTACTGTCGCAGGCGTAAGTTGATTTCCTCCTGCTCCTTCAGAGCTTCCATTAACTGCAGACAGATACAAACATCAACATCTTTATTTCTGCTCATTGATTAGCTGTGCTGCTTCACAAAACTTACAAACACTGAGGTAAAACTAGAATAAAACCACAGACTTATGTGTAAATAATTATCTAATGCAGAAGAGACAGTGCTGTAAAAGTTCATAAAATTGTTTTAACATAAAATACTTTAAAGATTGGTGTTTTAAAATGACAGAAATTTTCCTGGCCAACAGACTAGCTGTTAGCTTGTGCCCTAAGATAATACAAACTGATACAAACTAATAACACTGAATAGTTTCTACTGAAGGTCAGATACGAATTACTAATAACATCTCTTCAGAAATAAAGCAAACTATTCTTTAAAGAATTAACTGAGGTTAGTCAGAGGCACTGATCTGCTGTGTTATGCAGGACAGATTAGTTATATATTGTAATATTTATGACAGTCATGCTGAGTTATGCCCCAGAAATACAGCTAAACTCTGATTACTAGGAAGGAAAAAAAAAACTCAAAATACCTCAGGAATCACTGGAATAGTTTTAATAGGATATAAACCTAAATATCGTAGGAATGATAGTTTTAAATAAAACAGCAATGACTTCCAAAATTCAGTGAGCACAAAGAGCAAAACACTAGCTAAAAGCTAAAATGAAGCCAATACTAGCTAGAAACAGCATAAGGCTAGCTGAGGCTAATAAAAGCAGAATGGTAGTGAAAAAGTAAAAGTTCTTCAAGAAGATAAAATCAGAGCAAGGACGCTGAAACAGATTTGCAAGAAAATGAATAAATCTGTGTATTTCTACGAGTTAATATTTGATCCTGTTAAATATTTTAGAAAGTATAAAAGTTACAAAACACCAAAGTAAAAGTAATAGCACCCATTTCCTGAATAAGCTGAGAGTTTTGGTATCTTAAATGGGTAAAACATCATAAATTATGCAGAATCAGTGCCAAATACATACAGAAAAAAAATAATAATCAGGAAACAGCAGTTTGAATGCTGAGTCAGAATTATGATAAATTGATTTTACCTGGTCTTTGGAGGCGTTATCGATCTCAGCAGCTAAAGACTGAGCCTTGGTTTGTGTGGCAAACAGGTTCTTGGCCTCAAACAAACTGAGGCTGATGATCTGACCGTTCAGCTCATCGTTCTGCTCCTTCAGCTTCTGATTCTCCTGAAATACACCACCAGCGTGGGAGGAAAAGGAGACAACAGCAAATAAAGATAAGTGCGTGGACCACACAAGTTGTGTCGTCTCATTTTTCCCTCTTCAAGCTTAATTTAACACGTTGCTTTATATAATTTTGAGCAGCAAACACATGAAGGCGCAGATAATATGGATTTAACACGCTGTGTGTCGACAGTTTCTCAGCTCCGTCTGCTGACTTATAAAAGCTTGATTATGATTTAACTGCTGATGAGAAGTCAGTTCGCTTTTTAACCATCATCCGCTCTGACCCCAATTAACTCAGACAAGTTCACTCTAACCCTTTGTGATTTGGGCTTAATTAGGGCTTCAAAGGTCACAGAAGCAATTTTAACAGGAGATGAAATTCTGAGGAAAAGACGGAGTAGAGGAATTTACAGAAACAAGCATGAGACAGGCTGTCTCACATTTTAAAGCTGTTACACAAACAGTGTTTTAACTTTAAATATGCAAGAGGAAAAGCAAAAGAAAAACAGATATGCAGATATTCTCCTGTTTTTTTTCATTCATTAACAGAGCAGCAGCTCTCAGACACATCTTTACTTCAGTTTTACTCTCGAGGAGTCGTTTGGGAGCTGTAATTCCCATCACTAACATATATGCCGACAAAACTGAACTCTCTTAAATAACTGGATTCTCCATTTCAAAGTCAAGATATCAATAACTCATGTAGGGCAGGTCTGCAGTAAAAAAGGGGATTTTAAGAGCTGTGAAAAGAGTAATTTATGGGCTGTCGTCAAGCTTATTATCCCACTAGTACAATAAAGTTTTAAAATATGCACTAAATCCACTGCTGCACTGTACGCCCCCAGGTCAAACTGGAGACATAAAAAYACCAAAAAGCATCCATGATTTATGAAAGCAGCAGAAATTAAACATCTTTAGTAGCACAAAAGTCACCATTATTGTCTTACAAGCTTTAGAGCTGTAAAACAGTGAAATGTGTTTAAATGTTGCTCTACTACACATTTGATTTMCAGGGTCCTGAAGACAGAAGACATCGAAACTCGCTGATAAGAAAAATACTCAGTTTTTGTCACAGCTATGTCACCGAGATACAATTTGACTACTTTTGAACTACAAACCAGGCTTTACAACAAGATTTGTGGAAGACTACTGGTTGTCCTGTGGACAGATTGTCCCACCTGAGCTGTGGATCTAAAGCTGCTTCTCAGCCTGTTAGTTTAGGTGGACATCCACGGATCTGCAAGTCCTCCTCTCTCCATTATCAGATGATGGACTGAGCTTCATGACATGTTCAAAACTTAGGAGTTCAATCCTGCTTTAAATATCACAACAAATTTATCCCTAACCTGATTTAATGCCTTCCTTGGTCTTCATGATGCTGTTTGATCAGTAATGTTAGCCTGAAAACCATAGATTATTTTCTTTCCACTTTCAAATCAAAGTAAATACACTTAAAGCACTCTGAATAGCACAATTTGGTTTTATCCGTACCTGTTTGAGCCTCTTGACCTCGTGCTCGAGCTCCACCTCCCTGGTCCTGCTGCTGAAGTCTGCAAGCCCAGAGGAAGAGCTGCGGGTCCGGCCAGGCTTCTCAGCCTCCAGCTTGTAGAGCTGCAGGTGTTCCAGCTCTCGACGGAGGTCCTCGATCAGCTGCACAACACGGAACGGACCGGGGAAGGAGGTTAGACAGTGCAGAGACAGCCTTGTGTGGGTGGAAATGTATGAGCTGACATAAAAGATGAGTAACAGTGGAARTTGAGCAAACAGCACATTTGGCTGGATTTTGRTAAGTTAAATTGATCCCTCCTACCTCCTGCATGGCGTCCTTGTCTTTCTGGTACTGTTGCCGGTTCTGTTTCAGTTTATCCATCATTTTCTTGTAGAGGTCCATCTCATCCTTCAGCCTCAGACTTGTGTCTTCCAGCTTGTCTGTCATCCTTTGTTTCTCCTGAGGATGGACACAAACGCACACATGATGGGATTTTAAAGTTATTTCACTGATTTCTACTTCTGTATCAGTTAGTTTGCCAATAGATTTAACTAAGACAAAGCAAACTTTTATTTATCTGTGTGTTGTACATTCTTGTATGGTACATCTGAACGATGATGTTATTTATAAAGGCATAGTCTCAAATTAAGATCAGAAATCTGAAGGCTGTGATTTAAATCCTCCTCGTCTTTGTGGAAGAATGAACTTGACAGATGAGGAAGGTGCTCATTTTAAAACGACTAAATGTTATGAGTGTATTAAAAGGATAAAGACACAGTAACYGGTTGCCACAGTTAAAGGTGTTACCAGTGGTGGGCACAGTTCCCCTAAAGCACTAATAGTGGAACTAATTTATTGATTAGTGCTTTAGGGCTTTTGCTAAATTTTAAATTAATTAGTGGATTAGCACTTGCTAAATTTATGGGCTAAATTTATAAGCACTAATTGAGTTCTTTATTGATCATCATTATTGTGCACAGTTGAGGGTGAAAGCTGTCACACATTTTGTTCATATGTGTGTCACTTATCTACAAGGTCACGTGTCAAACTCAAGGCCCACGGGCCAAATGTGGCCTGCAAGTGACTCATATTTGGCCGGCCAATGGCACTAAGTGACAACATTCTGCACGCAGTAAATATTCAACTTCAATTCAATTCAAAAAATGTATTCATTTCATTAAAAACAACTATATACAATAAAAAACAACGAAATTACACAGATCAAAAAATCAAAATAAAATGAAAGGCAGCAGAAGAATAATCAGTCATAATGTATGCCCCTTTTATCCTCAGAACATATTCAAACAAAACATAATTTACAAAACAATACAAATAAAAAATAAAAACATCAACTCAAACAACAACTCGTATGGCTTCTCATCTTACTTTTCCATATACCTTCAGAAAACTAGCTTTTATCTGTCTTTTAAATATATAYATAGATCTAGCTTTTTTAAGATCATCCTCCAGACCATTCCATAATCCTATATCCTGGATTAAAGTACATCTTTCTCTCAAACAAGTACGAAAATATGGCTTCACAACCATTTCCATCCCCTTAAGATAAATATAGTCTTATGCTGACTCTGAAGAATGCTTCATGTGACAACTGGATTATATTAGTGCTTTAGAATGAGCTTTTGCTAAATTTTTCAGTGGGTTAGCATTTTAGAATTAGGGGACCTACGTACATATTTGAGTTAGTGCTTTAGGGTTAGTGCAACTAATATTTAGATTAGTGCTGCCCACCACTGGGTGTTCCATAGAAGCTGTAAATGCAAAAGAAATAAAACAGAGAGCATTAACAAGGGAAACAAACGTGGCTCACCTCATCCAGTTTTTCTGTCTGCGACTTGAGTCGGTTCATGCTCAGAGACATCCCGCTGTTCTCCTCCTCCAGATGTTTGACTCTGAAAACACAGAGTCCAGAACATCAGTGTCAGCTGAGTTAGTGTGAAACAGTGCGAGTGTGCGACCCTCACCGAACGTTCAGTAGTTCTATCTGTGTGTTCTTGTCTCGCTCCATCTTGCTGTAGGCCTCTCTGTGTCGTCTCAACTCCTCCTGCAGAGTTTGGTCTGAACGAGTTTCCTGGTCCTTCAGCTGCTCCTCCAGCTCATTAACCCTGAGATGAAGAAGCAAAAATCCATCAGTAAAGTGAGTTTYACTTCAGAAAACTACACAATGAGGGGTTCTGTTCCCTACCTGTGAACTAGTTGTGTGTTGTCCTGCTTCAGTTTGGACTTCAGATCAGAATTGATCTGAATTTCATTCTCGAGTTCAGCCACTTTTTTTTCCAGAAAACTCACCTGCAAAGAACAAAGACATTTGTGAAACTTCAAATGTACAAGGAAAATAGGATTGAACTTAAACATGTTCAAAACTTCCAGGGGTCGGATTTATAAAACTTGCGTACGCACAATTTGAGCCCAGAAACTTGCGTACGCCACTTTTTACGCCAAGGTTGTGATTTATAAAATCCAAACTTGACGTGAAAATGTGCGGTGCCTCACGCCAGCTCTGACCCATGCGTACGCTCATTTTGGAGATGTGAAACTGCGACACAGATGGTGAAGTGAAGAATTAGAGCCACACTGTGTAATGATCACTGTCGGATATTTAATTTACCTTCAGAATCAGACTTAAATAAAAGTTCCCGTGCGCAACTCCATTCATCTGCTTCCTCCTCAGACGACCCCGACCCATACAGACCCCTCCCCGATAAGAACAGCAGRACAGCAAAAGCTTTGGATACACACGCAGCGCGTGTATCCAGTCCGTGTTTGTCACGCGCGCGCGCGGGGGATGCGTGCGTGCGTGCGTGCGTGTGTGCGCGCGCGGGGCGGGGGTCTGCCGCGGGTAACAGAGCAGGCAGGAGGGGGAGAGGACGAGGAGAAGAGCGGGGGACTTATTTCTAATTTTACCTGACTTATTTAATTTAATTTATTGTTTTTATCGTCCTGCAGGCTCTGATGGGAGATTGAATTGAAGCTGAGGTTTTTTATTTTTGTTTTTTATAAAAATCGTTAGATTACTCTAAAGCAAAATGAGGGAAAATCTGTGTCAATTAGACATTCTGTTCACGTGAGCAGCTGTCAGTCAGCACCTGTCATCCTCCAGACACACGACGGAGCATCTGAACCAATCACTTTTGTTGGCATTGATCAGCTGACTGATTTAAATACATCTTAACATTCATGAGGTACTTTACATTGACTGTTTATGGTTGAATGTGGGCGTGTAGAGGGTAGAACCTGAGGCGGGACCTCGTGCGCAAACTCTGACGTGCGGCTGTGATTTATAAAGGAAAGATGCGCAGAAACGTGCGTACGTACGGTTTTATAAATCTGAATTTTTTTTGGCGTACGCCATTTCCGCCTTTTGGCCGTACGTTCACTTTTAGTATAGTTTCTACGCAATCCTTTATAAATGAGACCCCTGGTGAGTAAAAAAAATAAAGACATTTTACACTATGGAATATGAGTCAAATGAGGGTTTTGTTTTATAATAACTGTATTGGCACACGTCTGCTTGGCAGCTGATACAAAATTGTTTCCTGCCAACATGAAAGGCAGGAGATCCTATAGTTGTGTGTGTGTGTGGGGGGGGGGATGTTTTTCCTACATCGTGGGAACTATTTTCCAGAAAAAGGCAGCCTCATGGGGACCRAATGTGCATTTGTKGGTATCAAAGCACGGCCCCCACAGGCACGGATTCTAATTTCGGGTGTGGGGTTAGGTTTAAGACCAAAATGTGGATTGAGTTTAGGTTAGTTTTAGGGTCAGGTAGGTACATGTGAGGTTAATTTTAGGATAAATGGTCAGGATTAGGCTATAAAACTACCAGAAAGTGAATGGAAGTCAATCCACGGTCCCCACGGGGATATAAAAACAAACCTGTAAGTGTATGTTTATTTGTCCATCTATTAGCAAAATATTTCAGATACCATCTGATAGATTATAAAATAACTCTCAGAAATTAACCATTAGATGCACATTTAGAACTGGTGAACTTTGAGAGTCAACCCAATTCAAAATGTCCACCACAGCTAATCRTTTTAGCAAACAAAGATGACACTAACTTAGTCAGTTCTATAGATACTGTGAATCACTCCAAAACATCCTCTGAGCTCTAACTAAATCATACAAATTCTTTGTTTGAATGCTTCCAGTCAAAAAAAATGCTACTTTTAGTTTTTTTATGTCAATGAACAACAATAACATGTCCATTATTTTACTGGTTAAGGTACTTATCACAGCAGTGGAGTTCACACCCAGGACATGCTACCACTCTGCTAATGGAAAAAAATCAGCCTCTTCTATACAATCTAAAACTTTTATTACTTAAAATACTTACTTAAAATACTTTAATTCTCAGGGTCACAGCAGATTTCATCATACATTTTGTTAAAGCTGTGAATCCAACAGGAAACTCCACTCACTCTCTGGGATTTGATTAACTGTATTTAATCCTTTACAGGTTTTTCTAGTCTCACAGAAAAGTTACATTTGCTCAGTTAAAACTCAAAACTGCTGTTATTTATTTTTCTATTTTATACTTCTATTTAAACTTTACTTCTTTTATTTCATAGTATATATTCATTGTGGTTACTTAACTACTGTTTTTTGAGAACTGTTATTCTGCACTGCCTTCGAGAGCCGCTCATCTGTAAGTTTTGTTGTGCTACTTGTACAATGACAACAAAAGGAATTCTAATTCTAGTTCTTAATTTTCTGCAAACAGAAATGGACAAATAAGCTGCAGAAAGAAAAAGATATTCACACCTTCTCGTTGAGGTCGGTGTCGCAGGAGTCGATGCTGTCTCGAAAAAGGTCTTCAGTGCTGCCGTTTCTGCTGCTCAGGTTGCTGTGGTGGAGCAGCTGCCTGCTCAGACACACATTAACACACGTTTAGGTATCTGCAAAAGACTAGTGAGGGTCATTTTTCTACAGGAGTGAGTGTAAAAAGGTGCAGCATGAGGAGAATGCCCAGGAGAAAGTTGAATTTCAATTACCACACATACAGACAGTAGACTAAACACAAACACAGGTGTGTGTACATGTCTGACTATGCTCCGCTGTGACAACGTGATTTTAGCTGGAAWAACCCAACAACAAGAGCTATTATTCAGGCGGGACATGCAAAGAGCAGAGATGAAGAAAAGGAGAGGAAACAAAGACGACAGGATACAAATAAAGAGAGCAATAAAGCAGAAGATGTCATCAAAAGGGACACAGACACAAGGAGAAGAAGCAGAGACATGGAGCCAAAGCTTATATTGAACACATATATCAGAGCTGACAGGCCATTCTCACTCTGCCACCATAACTCAGTTTGTGTGGCTGCAAAATAGGACAAAAGCCCCAATATAGGGCATATCTTTCAGTTTCACAGCTGCTGCGGGAAAAGCTCACATCCACACTCCCTTCCTCGACTCAGGAAGGAAAACAAACGTGGCTGTATTTTCTCTGAACGCCCARTTAATCTTTAACCGGTCGTTAGAGCACACCTGAGAGATAAGGAGGCAGCGAGGGCCAGCCTGCCTCTGTGTGTTCAGGCTTCTGTCAACAAACGCCACACACACGTGCGACGCAGGCTGTGGAAGGCAGCCACACACACACACACACACACACACACACACACACACACACACACACACACACACACACACACACACACACACACACAAGAGTGACCTTTGATGTCACACACACACACGAAGTGATCAGCTTACCTTCCAAAAGCTGTGCTGGAGATTTTTCTGCTGGGGCTACAAAAGAGAAAAAAGCCTTTTATCAGTTTTTTACATTATTTACTATAATAAAAATCATAACTCAGTATGACAGCTGAAATGACAGTAATTAAGAGTTGGTTATTCAGTGTTTGATACACGGTAATAATAGGGAAAGAAACTCTGAAAGACGTGTCGGTTCTGGTTCAGTGAACATGGGTTTGTGTGTCAGCTCAGAGACCGTCTCAGCACAAAGACTTCTGCAGAATAATGAACGTGTCTGTGCCTTCTTTCACATCRGATTAACAAAAATGAGCAAACACGCTGCAAGACTACACAACGAAATGTTTGTGCTGATAGAAAACTAAAAAGAAGGCGTTATAGCTTCATTCAAAGCATTTTTTTAATCATTACGTAAGTATACAAAACCTTTCCTTTCTTTCTTTACCGAAATATCTATTTGTGATCCATGGGAAAATGAACAGCTTCTTTACATTTAATGTTGATTAGTTTATGGTAAATGGATAAATAGACTTATAAAGTGCCTTTCTATCCAACCAGCATACTTAAAGCACTTTACAATCTGTGTCTTCATTGACCCATTCACTCAGCACTCTGTTATCTCTCTGCAAAGCTAACATGTACAAAATCAACCTATAGAGACTAATCAGTGCTTCAAATCACATTCATACTCTGATGGGACACACATCTGAGACAGTGGGGATTCGGTGTCTTGCCCAGGGACACTTCCACATATATGACTGAATAGCGGGGGAATCGAACCACCAACTTTCTGGTTAGAGAACAACCCCTTAACCACAGCCATTTTTTCCCCCACATTTAGACTAACTGACATGAAAACACTGAAACAAATTTGCTTGTTTTATTCCTCCCACCATGCAGTTTAACACTTAAAGGGAACATATGCAAAATCAATTTTTTTAGTCATTAAATACATTTTGTTGTGTATTTGGAGACTCTAGTAGTGCAGAAAAAAAAAATATTTTTTTTTTACCAGTACTGCTGGACAAGTTTCCCCTTGTTGACATTTTAATTCATTTTTAAATAAAAGGTTTCTGTGCAATTATATAGTCATAAACTCATCTATCAAACTGGAATAAACGGGTCTAAAAGGTGGAGGGGGGCGGGGTTTGAAGCGCCTCGTTTAGATTTAAAGAAACAGCCTCAAAATGAGTTAATCTGAGACATGCCCCAGAAAAGGGGTGAAAGAGGGGCTTGTGGAGTTACAATAAGGAGGAATTCAGATCAAAGCATTGCAGTTCCACTTTATATAGACCCCAGCTTAATGATTTAAATGTTAAAAAGCATGATTTAAAAGCATACTGTATGTCTCCTTTAACTCACTTTATGTAAACTCACTCGTTTCAGAGAAATATCTCAAGATTTCAGTATGCTTTCAATTACAACTCACTTTTTTCTATCTTCCAGTTCTGTTTCTTTTATTCTCTACATCCCTACTCAGAGGAACACTAGTGAATTTCCCTAAAAGCAAAGTTACTGCAGCTACGAGCACAGAGTAACATTGCATCTCAATCTGCATTTAAAAAACATTAGACTGATCTTTTTTTTCCAAAAAATTATTCATTTCTATAAAAATAAACTATATACAATTAAAAAAAACAAAATTACACAAATAAAAAATCTAAATAAAATGAAAGGTAGCAGAAGAAGAATAAATCTTATAATGTCTGCCCCTTTTATCCTTAGAACACATTCAAACAAAACATAATTTACAAATTTAAYGGGAATTTAACATTCCTGACTGACACACGTGTGCCTAGTTGTGAGCGTATGTGGTTATTAGGTGTCATTAGCATTTTTAGGTCAACTGTGCAGCTATAAATGGCGACCATGGATTATGTTTCCAATAATACTTCTCCTGATACAGAGGGAGCTGAGGTAAGCACAGGACTTATATAACATTCACTCAGTGTTTGTCCATGCTGTTGTTGTGTTTACCTGCTGTTGTTGTGTTTACCTGCTAGCCCTGAGGTGTTTGAGGCGAGCCTCCAGGTCGTTGAGCAGGTTGACCTTTTTGCTGCACTGAGAGCAGTAGACATCCATGAGATCTGCAGCGTATTGGTGGCGCACTTTACGAGGTGTCTGACCCGCACTGTAAAAACACAAACGAAAAGACTTAAACTGTACCTGCATTTTCAGACCGTTTTAAAATAATACTCAGAAAAAAATAGAAATCTACACTTTTGTCAGAAAAATGGCTGCTGAAAGTTTTTCTTTCCTGTGCCGAGATGTACAAAACTTCTTATAACACTGAAACTCATTTTGAATTTAAATCTCCACACAAACTCTTTTTGGGGAGTTTTTTTCCACTTGTTATGAAATAAAAAAGAGCCGTATTGCCAGTTCATCATCTGGGAGKATTAAACCTTTTAAAAATAAGGCTTTGATGAATATTAATGTTGCCTCAAGGGCGAGAACTCCTAAACTACACTTCCTCAGTCTGAATAATGAGTCAGATAATATTCTGGAGCWTACAGACTGGAGACTCAAATCCATTAAATATTAATGGAGTTGCAGTTAYTAAAAACATTTTACAAGTTGCTTCAATGACTTTAAACTCTACAGACAACTTGTACACATGGAGGATGTAACAGGTGGAAACTTGTGAAGGATAAAAGACAACACAATCTTTATAAAGTGACTGACCTAAAGTTTTGAAATGAACAAATCTGAAATGATAATCTTTGTAAAAATGGATCTGATTAGACTTTACTCTAGAACTGAATAAAACTAACTTAAATTCAAAGAAAGRAAAATCTTCAACCAATGAGATTCTAGGTGTTACAGCACAGAAAACCTGAATTATGTTTTTTTCTTCAGCTCTCACCTTGACGGCACAGACGAGCCGAGGTCAGAGTAGCCGTTGGTTCGAGTTTCGTCGTCTGGTGAGGGGCTGCTGGCCGCGTAATCTGGTTCCTCCCCCTCTCCGTAGTCCTCAAACTGCTCCTCGTTCAGAGAAGCTGAGGAGCGTGTTGACAGGTCAGAGGTCACAGAGATACTTGTCTGAGCACGCCTGTAAACCAGGGAGAAACAAACTGTTAAAATCTGCATTTCAGACAGAGGTTCAAAAGGATCCAGCGGTGCTCACTTCTCTCCAGGGAAAAAAAGGTCTCCCAGCTCGTCTTCCTTTTCCCCCAGTCTGGCGGGACCCTCAGAGGTGTCCGACCCCTGGGAGCTTTCCGCGGCGCTGTCTCGGTCCGATTCCCTCTCCCTGCCCTGCTCTGCCACGCCCTCCTCAGGCTCCCCCACCTCTCCAGGGAACAACTGGAAGTCAGGAACCGGAGCCGGAGAGGTCCGGGTGCACATGATGACCGGACAAACCCGCTCCTTCTCACCGTCCTGGAGAAAGATCAGAAGAAAGGTTAGGCATAAAAGGTACACTTTAAAATATATACAGTATATAACTTTTTGCAGTGTGCTCTGAGACTGAGTGACTAGAAGATAAATAAGCATAAGAAGTGTTTTTTTATTCTCCCAAAATACCTAAATATTACACTAGTTTAAAAGTATTTAAAAAGGTAAAACCAGGCCAACTTTATTTATTAAATCCCTTTTTTTTTGCATCAGATCTACTTATAGATCAATACTTTGAGCAGTAAGGGGGAAGATGAGGTCAAATGTTTTCCACTGTGCAGATTCCTTCACTGTGGGAGGAATCTTAAGCTCATACAGGTTCTGTAATCATAGAGGAGTGAAAGGTTAGAGGTCAGAGGTCATGTCTTCTAAAACTGTTCAAATCTTCTCTAGTCCAACAGAGAACATGGCTCATCTCAGCAGGACTGAACAAGTGACCCAGAAGTTTGACTGGTGGGTTARAGACACAGACTGGATAGAATTAAAAGAAGGGAGAGGGAAGGCAGTAAGAGTAAGGATAAAAAAGAGGCACAAACAARACCAAGAGAAAATACTATGGAATTAAGAGTACARTGTGTATATGAGACAGGAGTGAGCGCCTCTGAAGTAGACTGTTTTAGATACATTTCTGAGATGGGATAAAGTGGAAATTTGGGGTAATTTGTGTGGAGTCATCCCATTCTAATGCCACTCAAACACTCACAGAAGCATTTTCACAAGTAAATTACAGCGTCTAACACAAACACGGGGGCTTTGCTCTGTAATAAAAAGCTGACTGGGGGTCTGGGGCTGAATCACTTTGAATAAAACCCAAGYACAAAGGTCTCTTTAGCATTCCTTCCCTGCAGCTGAGACTAACACAGTGGTAGCAATGAAAGAAATGTTTTACCTTCCCAGAAAATGTATTCTTTACGCAGAATTGTTATTTCAGTATTAATGTGTTGGAAGTGTGTRACACGAGTTCAGACCCACTCAGAGTGTGTAACTGAAGTGGTCAGATGATAGTTTACAGGAGGAGTGGTGTGTGAATCTATCGKTGTGGGTGTTCACAGTACACTCCTGAGGTCTGGTGGGGTTTAACGGCCATGACATGAGCCCATACAGACAGCTTTATGGTGCTTGATTCCCTTGAGCAAAAACAAAGCTTCCCTGCCAAACAACATGCAAACTGCCTGCAGCTTAAAATCTCCTGTACTTTGAACAACACTGATGCTGGTGTTCCTTCACATGGTCTTCTCACCAGTAAAAGCCTGAACTCTTGATGTATGAGACACAGCTGTGTCTTTGTGTATGTATTCTACCTTCTGTATGTGAAACACTGTGCAAAAGTCCTCAGTTCTTTATATTTTGCTTCAAAGGAGGCAAACGTTGTTTTAAAGTGGTCTAAATCAATACTTCTTTAGATAATCTGAATTTGTTTGTTTCTYCTTAAACCGTGGCTCCTTTTTTYCCCACTAATTTTCAGTGCATTTCCTGATTTTTGAAATTATTTGTTTGAGCCACTTAACTGTGACAAACAAACCCAAAAACTTGAACTAAACCTGTCACACAGACACAGTTTATTACCACTTCTTTAACTGATTCTTAAAGAAAAGATCAAAGTTAACCATTTGTCAGAAAATAGCATTTTAGCACCAAAAAGGTGAATAAAATAATATAAAGAAATAAGGAGTGGTTTCAAGTTTCAGTACAGGTTTTTACAATTATTTATTTTTTCAGTTTAAAGCAAACAGAAAAACATCTTTTAAGCCTGCTGCTGCAGTAACTGACACAGTTTTACAAAYACATTCATTCCTTTCCTGCTCGCCTTCCCACCCTGAAGTGAGGCAAATGACAGAGATATGAACACAGACTAAATTTAATTTCCTGTAGCTCGAGCTGCAGACTGTAGACATTTTACAAGTAGATTTATCACCTGTCTTTCATGTTTGTTGCTTTTGTCTCTTAGCAAAATATCTCACGAATCACTGAACTGATTATAAGGAAACTTGCTYATTAATTTCTACAACTGATTYACTTTTTGAGTTAACCAGAGYCAAGATTGCCTCCACAGCTAGCTGACCTCATCAAACACAAAAGGAGCTATACCTCAGCTGATTTTACAGATACTGAGCTAAAGTTTTGTGTCTTAGTAGCTGAGAGTCGTCCTAAACACATACCCTGAGAAGAACATATCTTAATTTGATACTGCTTTAGGTAAATGACTTTTGTTCATTTATTTTTATTTACATAAAATCTTTCCTAAGAATAGAATAGAATAGAATAGAAACTGCCTTTATTGTCCCGTAGACGGGAATTCAGGTGTAACAGCAGAAACAAAGCATTTTAAATCAACACTTCCTCCATCAGCACTCCGTCTTAAAAGACATGAACTATCAGTTTAATTATACATTGTTACAGTGGAGAGTTGGACCCAAGAATATAGACTGACACAAGGAGCTCAAATAAAAACTAAAGGATTAGTATCAACAAAACTAAGAGGCTGATGAGGCAGCAACTAATTACAAATAACYCAAGGAGAACTGGACATGGCATAAACACACAATGATCCACTGCAGAAGTATAGAGAAAAACAGAGTAAATGGACAGATGAGGAGGTGAGACACAGATGAGCTTAATGAAATGGAGAACAGGTGTAAATGAGCTGGGAAAGAGCAAAAACAACTGAGGAAACGTTCTGGGAAAAATGAACTGATGGCAAAGGGAAACACAGATGAACATAACAACACAGAAACAAAAAACATACAACCAAAAAGAAAATAAACCCCATCAAAAYTTTACCAAAAAACACAGATCCTGGACCTATGAACATTCCCCAAGCAAACAAGTAAATCAGGGAAGMMGACGCTTTAAGGATTACATGCAAAAATATTTCTTTCCAGACTTTTCAGGGAGCAAAGAGTCGTTCACCATGAAGACTTAAAAGACAAATCAAGAAAAAGAGAARCAAGCTCACTGGGAAGGGTGATATGCAAAAACATAAATTATTCACACCCACTGCAGTTACGATAGTGCTGGTAAAAAGGGTAGAAAACAAGATCAGTGCATTTTAAAAGAAAAAGGAAAACACAGTGCTGACACACAGGTAAAATAACTGCAAGGAAATAAAATAAGGAAGAGATCAAAAACGTGTAGAGAAACATCCAGAGCTGCTCTGTTTATGAAGTTCACAGGGATTTTATGCAACAGAAACAATGATTGCTAATGTGCCAATTACATAAGAATAAGCCTCCTCTGAAACTCAGCGTTGACTCATGTATTTTTAATGCTGACATTGTTGAGCAACACGGTGAAGGATTACWGTTCTGAAATAGGGACAAGCAGGGAGAGCAACAGTGTGCAGGGTTTTCTCACTACAAAACAAGTGTGATTGTACAAGAGAGCCAGGACAAAGCAGGTGAGAGAGGACACTTCCACCCACTGATGAGCTAAATAACTGATGTTGTGTAAAAACCCACAGTAATGAAATCTTACAGGTTTGATTTGATTTAGAGTGTGAAAAATGAAAATTTCTCATGAGCTCTTTCCAAGTTAAATTGATCTTCCTATTAGGGATCACATGATCTGAATATACTAACTGATAATACTGACAATACATCCTTCAAAAAACATTAAATTATCCATCCAACAAGACATGAGGAGGGCAATGACCTTTACCTTTTACCCCCACCCACACATCTGCGTGTTTAAATTAAATTCCTTTAACCAGCTGGGTGTCAGGGAGGTGAACAAGAATGAGGTTCTTGTGTAAAGAAGGTAATTTCGAACCAAAACAGAAAGAAAACATGGAAAATGTTGAACCAGGTTTAAATGAGCTTAACATAGCTTTATGTGATAGATTTATTCTTAAGTCATTTATTATGAAAAGGCAAAGGCAAGCGATAATGTACTACCCTGCTGTGTGAGTGACGGTTCAACCCAGAAAGCAGACGGTTTACAAGGAGCTCAAAGGTATATTAGACATAAAGGAAAATGGTGTCATGGCAGCCAAACACTTCTTACAGAGAAAAAAACCCTCAACAACTGAAATGCATTATTTCTGATTTAAAATAAAATAAATGTAATAAAAAAATGCAARCGTGAGACAACCATCTGCAGCCTGACTGAAGGAGGCAGCCAACAAAGACCAAGAACAATCAGGTGGATGAAGACAGACAAATCATCAAACCAAGCAGGTGTCGTTAACACCCACATTTTTCTCAACAATGTGTAAATCTTTTTGCTAAGTAAACTCGAAGTTAGAGCTTTTGTTGAAGCTGCAYTGTCCTTTCAGTTTCACCCCAAGGTATCAGGACACAGGAGTTGTTAAAAAGCACATCTGCTTTGTTGCTTCAGGTGCATCTTAGTGGGAAACAATTTCACAAAAGGCATTTTTGTACCCTCATGTCTGTACTTTGACAAATCTCTAATAAAATAATCTAATTACTGCAAAACAATCATGAAAACRTATGCCTAATTAAAACCGTTCTCATGAAATAGTATAACAATACCAAAATATAGCATACCTCTAAAATCTATTTTAAGCTTCTTTGTGTTTCATATTCTTTCAATAATGTTATGTACAATGACACATTGACACTAAATCCTGTACTTCCAGCATACTCTTTACCTGTGTGTCATTCATCTGTATTTATTATGATATGATGGTACTTTTTTCAGCTGCTCCCTTTAGGGGTTGCCACAGTGGATTTTCTGCCTCCACAGCATCCTCCTGTCACACCATCACTCTGAATATCCTCCTTCACTACATCTAAAAATCGTCTCTGTAGTTTTCAGGAATCCTTCTGCCAATGGTTCCATACAGTATTCAACATCATTTGTTCAATTTATCCACTGTCCTTCCTCTGAAAGTCCAAACCCGTTCAGACTCCAAACCACACAACCTAAAGTCTCCCTCCGATATACCAAATACAATACCAGTCATTTTGTAATTCGTTGCAGTAACAAAAAAATTCATTCACTCTGAAAAAAAATGTTTATAGAAA